AAAGGGAAAAAAAAAAAAGATTAGTAAGCCACTCAAATGATAGCAGTACTTACCAACATTGAGGGATGGCAAACCAACAGGGACAATCAATTTACAGAAAGCAGATAGCTTTGTAAAAGAAACAGCATTATGAAGTTTACGCGATATCGTCTGTATTCGGCTTCCTGGATCCGAGCAGAACTCGGGACTGCGGACAGAGTAAAGTAGAACTGGAATATTCGTGTACTCATCAGAAATATTCTCTAAAAACTCCGCCGCTACACCAGAAAACCCTCCAGAGTCGTCGATAATAAACTGAAATCCCTATCAAAAAAAGTTGAAAGAAAAAAAAGGTAAGTAGAAATTCACCAGCATTGAAGGATGAGACTTAAGAGGACCAAATAATTTGCATCACAGTCTAGTTTATCCTATGTAAAATGGGAAAGAGAGTGGGGAGAGAGAAAGACAGAGAGATATCTTTCCATATCTGGACTTATTTCTAGAGTTGTTGGCATTTCCATTTAAATCAGATAAATGATTTTTTAGAGGAAATTTTGTGGCATGACTTTTGTTAAAGATATGAAAGAACATTTTTTTTTTTTTTTTTTTTTTTGTGCCATGGATTGAAGCAATGTTTTAAAAACTGTACCGGTCGTCATACCGGTGTAGCGACCGGTATGCGGTATTACCGGTACGACCGGTATTACCGTCTATTTTACCGGTTTTAATAAATATTAAATTAATTTGTTATTATTATATAAATAATATACAAAACTAACTTTAATTAATATTAAAATAAATTAACATCTAATAACAATATAAACATATTAAAGTTAAGTGTAGAAATTTCAATTTATCTAAATAAAATAATAAAAATCTATTAAAAATATTTTTTTTAAAAAAATGGCATAAACCGGTATTTTGACCGGTATTTTGGCCGGTATTTGCCGGTAAAACCGGTATTTTCCGGTACGAAACCGGTATTTTGGCCAAAACGGTATTTTGAGTGTAAATGTACCGGTCGGACCACCGGTATCCGGTATTACCGGTAATACCGGCCGGTACGAACCGGTATTTAAAACATGGGATTGAAGTAGTGCACCCTCAGACATCACTGGTACGAGGAGTGAGATTCTTTACTGCTGAACCAAAAAAGTAGGACATGAAGGAAGCATAAAACAACAAGCAAGAAAGGAAAAAAGAAACAAGAGAACATGGGAGTGTCAACAGGGAAGCAGATGGTGGAAAGGTTGAAAGATAAAGGGAAAAAGAAATGTCTCTATATATGTTCAGTGGTGAGATATTAAGTAGACAACTAAAACCATAGAGCATTGCTACAAAAGCAGAAGCAGAAAATGTCTATTTACACCACCTGAACATCTCGGCAACATCTACCACTAGGGCATTTTTATTCTTCTATACGAAAAAGATAAGCAAATTTCATATGGCAAACAAACAAGAGAATCCAAGTTGACTTCAATTTTAAAGTATTAGGAGATGAATTAACAGTGCAAACCACAAAAGACATGTTGAACATAAATTAGGATTTGCCAGTCGCTAATTAAAATAAATCAGGATTTCACAATCAGCAACTACATAGGAAACACACCAAAATATAGCCAAGCCCAAAATACAAGAAGAGGAAACAAAACTGGGAAAATAAAGAGGACGAAGGGCAATAAGTAATAAGGAGCACCTGGGGAAGGTCACATTCTTCAATAAAGAAACGCAGCCTCTCACTGATTTCATCTGCTCGTAGACCCCCAGAAAATGCCTCTTTTCCAATCCCATAATTGTTAAATTCTTGGACATCTGACCACAATCCACTCAACTCATATATGCTTTGAGGGTGATAATGAACTTTTGAAAAGTCTGTCCAATAAAGGACACCATTTTCCAGACAATCAACTATGTCTTTATCTTGAACTTCAGTACGAGAATTGTTGTTCCCACTCTCACAGCTGATGGAGCTACCTGACTTCGCACCCTCTTCATCGTACAGGCTTTGCAAGAATAAGTTCTTTTTCGAAGGTTGAGACCTATGAGTTGTTACAGGACCTGTCCTACACATTGTCTGAAGCTATTTAGGCCATTTAAGTGTAAAATCAGACAGTAAAGAGCAACTTAATCCAACATGTAAATTATAGAAAGTAGAGATATCATGCTTATATAATATTTGAATTCACAAAACCAGCAGCGAAAACATTAAATTTAGCGTTATAAGGCATTAAGGAATAAAGTGGAAAAATCTCTCCAATTTTCATCAAGATTAAACATGTAACCAGAAATTAAATGGACCAACATCTAGATTATGCATATTCGGGATCTATCAGAGTGCCAAAACATGAAATGAAGATATTATTCCACTTTCTCCTCTAAGCATGAAGAGAAATATAATAAGGGATACACGGGAAAAAATACTGGATCAAGATCTCCTGCATGCATGCTCACCTTCCTATTTATACTTTGAGGAAATTAATGGCGAATCAAATGTCTCCCACACAAAAGAATTAAAGTACCTAGAGATAAGACGTAATAACCCAAGTGACACAGAGATTATAATTCAACATCCCCAACATTAGAGAACATACAGAAGTAACAGGACCAAAAGCTAAAAGGCATTTGAACAGGGTCTATCCATCCCACAACAGCTATCTGAAATAGAAGCATATCCAAAATACAAACATTCCACCAAATATTTTGATGCAAAGTTACGCGCATGATTGATGACCGCACACTAAAGTCTCAAATATGTAAGCATGATATAGAAAGTAATGTGTAGACTTAATATATTGGTGGTGTGGTGTCAATGTGTTAAGACAAAGAGGTGGGTGTTCAGAGATGGTGTAAAGAAAGTTCATAAGAATTAAACCAACAAAGAGACCTCACAGGAGTCTGGATAACCTGATAATGTATTGTAACATAAAGTTTGTGTGTAACTCTAAGTTGAAGGACCAAGAACTTTCACAATAAATGAGATAGTTTGATCAGAACTTGATGAAAAACAGAGATTACATAAACTCAATAAGCCATAGACGAACAAGTTTATGATGCTTCCTATTGTCTATTAGCCTCAGTACACAAAAGTTCCTTAATTGCACTCTACAAGAACATCTATAGAAGAAAGTGGTGTGAATAAAATTAAAATAGTTATAGCTAAGGCATAGGTTAAACAGTTCCCAGAAAATGAAAGCCAGAGCATCAAGATGCTATAAGTTGCTCTTCCATCTGTACACGACAAACTTCTAAAAAAAAAGACAACTAATGTGAAAATGTGAGAGGATTTAGAGTCTCACCATGTTGAAATATCACGTGAAGTTTCTGGAATCTCATTGTATAACGTTCCGTGAGAACTCATCGTTCCAAGGGATCCTGTTGGGCAGCGCATGTATCAGGTAATGCTAGAAGAGAAAATTACCTTTTACAAATTCACATGATTAACCCAAACAATAACCAAGCAGCCAAATATGTCGTCGTATACCTAAATTTTTTATGGCACAGGCACAGCCATGGTAAGAAGAGACAGATGCGATGTGAAATCACCTGCCGCTGCCTGAGGAGGGCCGAGGGCGCCTCGTGCCGCTTTTTCATGGAAAAAGGCACCTGAGAGCACACCTCTCCTCCAAAGCCCGTCCAGTTATTAGATAGAAATATATTAACTACATTGGCAAATTTGATATGTTTTTACGATGTTTGGAGCACAAAATATTATCTCCACTATCGTTAAAACCAAGCAGAAACACAGTATCACCAGAACAATCAAGAACTAGGGTTTTACAATTAGGGTAAAAATACCCAAATTCCCATCTTAGATCTGAAAAGTGGAAGGGCCACTGGCCGAGCCATCTCATTTCAGACCTCTGAAATATATAAATCCAAGTCTAACTTTCTCCAACCTAAACTAGAAACACAAAACACAACTGTGACTTTTCATGGAAGAACTGTGGTACATAGGACGACTGAATCAACTAGGTTAATTTAACATATAATCAGAGTCAAGGTTCTCTTTTCCATTAACTCTTTTGTTGCTTCCTTGACGTAAAAGTAAAAGCTGAAATGCAGAGCCTCAAAATAATAAGTAAACTTTTCATTGCACAACAAGAATTCATTTAACTTCATTGCCTTCGAGCATGAAACAACAAATCAAGAATCTCATATCAAACCATGAAACATGATCAAGAAAGAAGCATCAACAGAACGTAGAAACCCTAACTCAGACTGAATCCATGTCCATTGACAGGGATAAAAATAGTCATTATCACTTGAAAGACAAGTGCAATTCCAATCACCAGCCAAATACTATTATTAACAGAACTTACACTCCGGAAATATATTGCAAGCAGTTCAATCAGGGACAGCTAACAAAAATGCACCACAACACAAGGAGTTTTGAGCAGTGGTTCAAAGTAACAGTATCTTGTACCTTGAAAATCCACAGACACCAAACGAGGGGTGTAAGTCAAAATACCCTGGAAATGAAAAACACAAAAGAAACAATACCATTTATAAATTATAACAAATGAGCACATGGACTAAAAATGTCCAAATGTGATTTGAGCAAGTCATGACTTCAGACAATGAGTATAAAAGAGCACTGCTACATGTTTAATTACAAAAGGGCTAACCTGCTGAGTTTCACCCATACGATAAAGGATGTCCATGTTAAGGCCATGATTTCTAAATATCTGGTCACTGTCAGGGCTGTCAGCTAATCCAAGCAGCTCATCCTTCAAGATAAAAGGCAAAAAAAGGTCATCTTTTAACTATTTACATGGCCACGATCAGTCTGAACAAGTGCCTGAGCATCAATTTAAATATTAGAGCATCATGTTAAAAACTTGGACTGATAACAGATAGGAAAATGCAGACACGCAAAAAGGAGGGAGGCAGATAAGAAATAGAATGCAACAAGCACTCTATAGAAAACCTTAAAAGATTCTAAAGTCAGTAACCACTGAAAAATATAGTTATATTAAGCATTAAGTTATTCAATTAATGTGTCAGCACATGTTACACATGGCATAACAAATGTGAGTGACCCTTAATTTCTCAGTATACTCAAACAAGAGACATACATAGTCATAAAAAACCTGAACAAGTAGAACAGAGGTCTCTTGGACATTTGAAACAAATTACAGGTAGATGTTTCAGAGGTGAAAGTGTCGAGTACCTGGAAGTTCCAGAAGTGAGAGCCAACAAAATTTGCATAGTTTCCTAACTGGATAGTAACAATTTCCTTCATAACTCCCCAGACTGTATTAAAATACCACGGAAACTGCTTGGCGGTTTTAGAGACCAAGAGCCTCCTTATACTCTCTCCTTTGCAACTTTAGGGAAACAAATCGTAAAATTGCTCCAACAGCCTCCTTACTTTCTCCACAAGTTGGCACGCTCACAATATTTTGACATGGGTCTCTATATTTCGGAGCCAAATACCTCCCTATATCTTTAAACAACGACATGCACAGCTTATAAGTTTATCATTCCATTTTTTCTTTTATCTATTATAAGTTTATCATTCCATTTTTTGTTTTATCTATTATCTGTGTACCTATCAGTAAACCACCTTAACAGATTTATTCTGCAAAATAAATGGGGGCATGAAGAAACCGAAATGGACATTAGAAAAACCCAACAAAGAAAAGTAAAATTTAGAACATATTGAGGTAAATAAGATAATAGAAGATTAACGAGCACCTTCCACACAATCCTTTTTCAATTACTGAAGATACTTGACAAGTATAAACAACTCAAATGCATGATAATTCATCCCTCTCGTTTTCACATACCAATAACAAAAGAAAAAGTAATTTATGGAAAATATACTCATTTCTCCACCAAAAATTTCAGAAAATAAAAAAGAGATGAAGAAAACGCTTAATCAATGCTGCACATCAACAAACCTAGGTGTTTAGAATGAATGCAAACCTGCAGAGGCTGGATAGTTGTCTCCAGGTCCGGATTAAGGGCGGATACAACTATGCGTGCAAGAATGCTAGATTACACATTCAAATTAAAGTAAAATGTTACTGTGCGAAGACAGAAGAGGAGTGTTTCGGTTCGGTGTTGAGTTGAAGCTGCCAAAAATGTTTTGACCTGACCCGCAACCCGCGACGGGTCCAACAGGCCGCTATCCAGGCTGGCCCGCACCGTGCCTGACCCAATTCGGGCCCGCCCCGACCCGTACAAAAAGTAGGCAAACAAAAGGTTTATTGAGGTTTACAGGCATTTTCACAAACAGAGAGTATGCCTTCAAGAAAATATCCAGAATTTTTCACAAAAATTACAATAATGGACATAATTTTTAACCAAAAATCATTTCCAACTTCTAAGCACTAATTTACTAATTCTATACTTAGTATTGAAGAAGCATTATGTAGATTGGAAATCGGAAATGCTAGATTACTAATACATAAACCATTTCTATTTTTTAAGGAAATGTAGTAATTACCATTAGATAAAATCTGAAAATGGAGTAGGCGGCAGGGCGTCGAGGCGAGGCGGGCGTTGAGACGGAGGCGGGGCGTCGATAGGCTGAGGCGGTGTGACTGTTTCCCAAAGGGGGGTCGGCCGTCGAGGCGAGGCGCGGAGGCAGAGCAGACGGAGCTTCCTATCTTTGGCGTCGGAGGTGAGGCGAGGCGCGGCGTCGGCCGTCTAGGCAAGGTGCGGAGCAGCCGGACAGCTTTCGAGCTTTGGCATTGGAGGCGAGGCGCGGCGTCGGACTCACTGACAGCCGTCGAGGCGTCGGACGCAGAGGTGAGAACTGAGGAGAGGCGGAGGCGTGACTGTGTGTGCAGAGCAGGTGAGCAAGCGGGAGGATGCGGGAGTGAGACAAAGGGACTAGAAAATTCTTCCAAACCCTATATCTTATCCCGACCTGCCTAACGTGACGGGCAGGTCAGGATAGAAGACCCGAATCTGACCCGCTTAATTCAAAGGTCGAGCTAGGCCCGGCCGTTTTAGAAATTGGACAAGTTTGGCCTGTCCCAAATACTCCGGGTTAGGCTAGTCCGTGTTGGGTCTAGATCGTTTTGACATCCCTAATCGAAGTTGCATTCGGGATTACGAAAACCCTCAATTGCATCGAAACACATAAAAACAAAAAAAAATAAAATGAAACAAAATAAAAAGAAAGGCATACGAAAATCAGTGGGATTGAAACTGTAATTGATGCAATCAAGTGTTTGCAAATTATTCACTATATGTAAGTGTACGAAGTAACTATAGCAAGCGTAAAGTTGTATTCTACTAAGATTGTAGTTAAATTGATTAAATACTAAAATAATAACATTTAAATATTATCTAGACTAAAGAAACTGACATATTAATTATGAACAAATAAATTAAATGAAGAAATATTTTGTCTAAGAAAATAAAAATAATACAAGATATAAATGATATAAAGCAAGATATAAAGGATAAAAATTGATTGA